ACTGGATGATTATATAAACGAACATCTGAGCTCGAGGCTTGCGCACTTTCGCTAGCTGACGAATTCGAACAAGTAACTGCGCAATTAATTGAGATTCGAGCAGTTTTTTCTGAACGCACTGTGAATCTCATCATTGTTCTGTCCCTATCTACTTACTTGAACTGCCATCGGTGAGTGAATTTACATTGCTGTGAGCTCCTGTTTGGAAGCTTCTCAATCGAGGAGAAATCATCGTAGAAATGCCGAATGTGTGCTTATTTTGTTTGTGAATATCTGCTCTACAAGAAGATGCCAAAAGTTTGGATACATCATTTAAAAAATATCGAATGCAACGAGCTACTACGCTAATCTTGAACATAATGTTCGTGAAATAGTTTTCTGTTTTGCTCTTTTATGTGCTTCTGGTGATTAAAAAGTTATATGGTGGTTTGTGCTTCGTTTATAACGTCCTAAGTGCTATATCGTATATCATTCATATTAATCGGTTATTGTATTGGTGCTCAGAATTAATCTCTAGTAAAAATTAAATGCATAATGCCCGCCGCTTATTAACCCGTCGCTCCTCAGATGAGCCTCTTAAGGAGAATCATGCTATCTGGTTCCTTCGCCGTCATACCCAGAAAGGGATTATATAAGGAACTGGCAAGAGCAGGCTAAACTTACCTGCTGTTTGCCAATATAATTCCAAAATTCCAAAGTCGCTTATTAAACTCGCTGTTTAATAAAACAGGCCGCTTATTACATTGAAATTTCCAAGAACCAAAGCTTTGTTTAGGACTAAAATCTTCTACCGTAAATTTTCATAATTTTTTTAAACTTTCAATATAGCGTAAATATTTTAACTTTAATGCTACTTTAATTACTTTAATTATTTAACGTTATTGAACAGTGCTATTTTAGGTAGCAACTATTAGATTAAATGTTAGTTACTATCTTACGCGATTATGTTTAAAAGCGATATAATACTGAAATCGTCGTCCATAAAACTCAGCCGCTTGATAAACTCAGCTATGTTTGGAGTGGAAGTGATTTTAATAAGCAGCGGTCACTGTACTATATGCACTTGGAAAGGAAGGGAGAAGTGATTTAGAGAGGGTGAGCGGGATGGGTGGAGAAAATCAGGTTGCGAACCATTGCGTTAGATCAGTGGTGAGCGTAAAACCCTTACAATGTTAATAGTCATCCTGGCAGAAAGGATTCTTTCTTCCATATGAAAATATTACATGGGCATACAAGACCTGTGTATAAGCATAGAAATATGTTAATTACAAGCATTATCTTGTACAAGTTACATAAGACACTTGTATGTAATCATGACATTTATGTGCGCATTTAAACATTATCTGATTTCGCATTTACAATACTGTTACTGAGATAATCACAGTAAACTTGTAATTCAGTTACACATTGCCAGGAGTTTCTGCGTTATTTTAAACTGCTTTAAAACATTACTTTTAACAAGTACAAGCAAAATGGATAGTAATAAGCATACATTGCAATAGTTTGTGCTCTTGCAGTGCAGTTACTATTGTACGGGGCGAGCCATTTTTCTAATGTTGATTTTCAATTGTAATGCTGTCTGGCTTGGTCTGGGTAACGAGTTACGTGACTCAATTTTCTGGCACCTTAGCTGATTTGCTTGGAATAGTTGCAACTGCTATTATAACTGTATAACTTATCAGAGGAGTATCTTTGTTACTGTTATTGCGTTAACCCTTTCCGGCACGCTGCATTTTAAAGTCGGTGTTTTGATAAAAAAAAAAAAAAAAAGGTAGGCAGTCTAATTAGGCCTAGAGGAGTACGCAAGTAAAAAATTTTGTAAAGATAGCACTTATCGTTTTCATTCTGTGGGTGTGCCCAAAGTGGCACACTGATTGAATAGAGCTTCGAAAAGAGTGCTGAAACCAGCCTTGCTGGTAAGCAAGTAAAATAGCAAAAGATTTTGCCTACGATTAAAAAACACAAGATTCTGAATACCATAGCATATTTTGCATTACCCAGGGTGTGCCACAGGGAGATATGCTACTCTACACCCACCTAAAAAGCTCATTTTGGGTTATATGATGATTACATGCTTATGAATGGGGGAAAATAGCTTTTATATGATATTTACATTATTTACATTTCAGATTTACACTTTAGTCTATTTTTTTTTGGGGGGGTGTCATAGTGGTACTTTTCGAAGAAAGTGACACCACCTTTCAAAAAGCACAACCCAATATTGCATGTTGCGCACATGCACCGGGATCCGTATCAGATTCACTATCTGAAAGAAATTCGTGTAGCACTTTCAGTGTTTCAGATATGGCCAGCCCTCTTCAATCCGTTTGCAAAATAATTAAAAATTCGAAAAAAAATAAACTAATATTGTATCTACAATATGAAATTAAAAACTATAAAATAAAATTAAATAAACATCTACAACTCAAAACTATTAAACGTAGCGCTAACAAAACTTCTTTGAACGAAAGCGAAAGAGCAAAAGAGAACTGCTCTAGTGGAAAACCAAACACCTAACTGATGAAATTAACCCTGGGCTTCAGAAAATCACCCCAATTTCTTAGTTGATAACCAAACTTCCCCCCCCCCAAAGGAAAAGATGAAAAAGAAAAACAGGAAATAAAACGCAGATGTGGACCCACCTTTCTATGTTAATGAGCTGACCGATGAGCTGCAGAGAAACAAAGATACAGCTGCCTGAGAGCCCAGTCTGGGAACACGTCGTTTCGCCCGTCGATTTTAGGCAAGATTTCAAGGTAAAAATTTAAACCTAATATGGAATAAGGGTATTAGCATACAGCCGAAAAAATAACACAAAAGTTTCCTTTCAAACAATTCCTTTTATACCCTAAAAAAATCTGGAAGATTTCTTTGAAAAATGAAGATCTTAAAAAAACTAAACATGGCTAAAATATATGGACTGGTTTGTGTTGAGCTGCCATCTACTATAAATAAAGAAGGTTCAGAGTAACCTATACATCCTTTTTCATTCAATTTTTCTGTGCGTACAGAAAGAAATTTTTAGGTGTGTCCAGAGCGGACACACTTTGCCGCAAAGGGTTAAAACTCTGGACCCATCAGCGGCCGAGGGGTAAAAATCGCAGAACGCTTTTAGTTCCGACGTCGGTTTGATTCCAGACAAACGGGCTGTTTGCAGGGGCATCTTCATAGTTTTCACCATGTGTAACGTCTATACGAGCCAGTTTCCCTTAGGAAGTTCTCCACGAAGGCATCCCTTCCCTTAGGCAGGTATCTCTCGAGGCTTTGCCATAATCACACAATCTTAAATTCGAGGAACTTCGGGATTCTTCAAATTAAACCCTAGGATTCTACGATTCAAAATAAATATTCGGAAAGAAAACTATAAAGTACTCAGACTGGTTGACTAGTGTGTATCGAGTAGGAAATGTAAAAATACATTTAGCTATTTCTGAATTTGTCGGTCTATCAACAAATTCGACGTTGAAATCGAAATTTAAGCATGAGAAGCTCCTGAAGTTTTGGTTGCAGATTCATGCGAAATACTCAAGTTTCTTAGACACCTATAATAATGCAATTCTAAGCAACGTAATTAAGTTGAAAATCTTTCTCAACGTATGTGGCAACAAAAACAAAGTAAAGGACTAAATTAAGTGCAGAATATGAAATGCGATTGCAGATAGAATTAATAGAACTAGATTTCTACAGTTTATGCAAAAAAATGCAAGCACACCCCTGTTAATAAATGCAATGCAAAGGTAGGTGACACATGGAATACTCCTTAATGCTATTAATGAGCAAATTACATTAATTTTATTTTTAAATTTTTAAATAAAAATAGGACAATTTTCGGTACTATTCGGTTTTGCGGGCCGTAAAAAATCGCCAAACTATTGTTGATGCCAGTACTGCCAAAAATAATTGCGGCAACCCTAACGCAAGAAAGGAAGTATAATAGTAAATAACTATTTAGGATTCATATTTTAATTTATACGAAAGTTTAATTTCATATAATATTTTTTATTATTCTAATTTATATAAAAAAAGGCTAAACATGACTGAATGGAAGCATAAGAGTAAATACTATTCAGATCATTTTTATAATTTATATAAAATTGCTAAGCGTAACTGAATGGATGCCTGCATCGCTATTTCGCTACCGAGTTATCGCTAAAGCATAATTTCATCTCGTTGGTTGTTCAAACATAATTTTCTATAATGAATGATGCCTTTTCTTTGAAAAAAATTCTCGCTAGGTGCAGAATCGCCCACTTATTTAATTGCCGCTTTCTACAAGGGTAAAAACATTTGGATTTTTGTCAATTTTATTTTACTTTTTAAGTGAAAATAGGTCGATGTGTACATGGATACAGAGTATGTGCAATTCTTAAAAACGCGTCAAGCAGTGGGTGATTCTGCACTTTACCTAAAATTCTGTTGCAGACTTTTCGCCATGGCCAATTCCCAAATTGTTAAATCCACAGGATAGCAAAAAAGAATTTGAAATCTAAAAAGGATTTAAAAATTAAACTAGTATTTCAATGGCGTCTTAAGAAATATAGAACTATATAAACTTACGCAATCTGAAATCAGCGCGTACGCTAGATTTGGCGCTTTTGCGCATACATTTTCGTTGCATTTTTTTTTTTTTTTTTTTTTTTTTTTTACGGTCCTGAAAACGGAATAGTAGCCAATTTTCTTTAATTGGTCTTACAGAAAATGCACCTTGCATTAAAGTTCATTAAAGTGCGGAGTATACCTACATAATATCGAACTATTTTGAATAAGATTTTAAGATATATTTTTGTAATGTAGGGATTCCCCGAAAAAGGACTTTCAGTTCTAAGGAGCTACAAAGTTTGAAGACCACTGTACTATTAATAACCACGGCGTTTACGTTACAACAGCGTTATTTTTGTAAAGCTTTGGAATTTTAGTTGCATATTTCGTTAAGGAGCCCACTCACTCAGTACGTTTCTGTGATGTTTCAAAGGTAGAATTAAATAAAAAAATCTTCTTACTTGAACTGCCGGCTTTCTTCAAAGAATGCCTTCACTCCTCGACTTCATTTGAATAAAACTGGAATGGACTCATTAATTGCTGAATATATTTGAGATAATACCAGGTAGATATATTGACTGGGTTCGTAGTTCAGCCTCAGGCGCAAAGTACGCCACAGTTTGACAGATAAGATATTGTATCAGATACTTTTTCTCAGAGACCCTCAACCTATCTTAATACACAAGCTGAGAGCAGAATATTAAATTGGGCAACCCTAGCATTTCAGAACTGATACGCTGAAGTTATTGGAATTACCTAAGTACTTAACTTTAATGATATGTTTGCAGAGGAACATTGAACTGATTTTTATTTATCTAGTCATAGCAGAGCTTCTTAAACGTTTTTCAACCGCGACCTCTTTTTATCACTGAGATTTTGTTCGCGACCATACATATCAAATATAAAATAAAGATATAAAAATAAATATCCTTCCGTAAATAATTTACTTCTTTGATAAACAATGTACATATTAAAAGAAATATTTTAGGATTTATTTTAAGCAAACAAAAATTAAAGAAAGTTCTAATGAGACAGATGTGCTCATTTCCTGCTGCATAACAAATTAAATGTTGGTGCGATATTTGACGCTGCTGGACATCTTTAGCATGTTTCAACAATGAATGACATTTGGTTTTAATTAACGTTAAAGCTGAAAAAGTAGTTTTATAAAAATATGTGGTATTGAAAGAGAGAAAAACATATAATAAGCCTTTTCAGGGTTTAAAATAGCACCCTTTTCAGAAATAATGAGAAATTTAGTTCTAACTGCAATCTATGATTTTTGAGAAAACTCAAGTTTTAGGTTTGGATCGCTAAGTAGCTGTACAATTCCTTTAGCACTTTATATATAAAAAAAATCTAATTAATATCAATTAATGTAATGTCTTTATAAGTCTAATCTCATTAGTATTAATTCATATAATGTCTTTATAAGTCTAATCTCATTAATGTCAATTAATGTAATTTCTTCAAAAGTCTTATGAGGAAAATGCAGAATGACCCACTGCTTCGCGCCTTTCTCAAAATCGACAACTTGAATATAATAAGTCAAAGAATTGCACAAACTCGGTATCCATGTACACATCGACTACTTAAAAAAACATCAGAGAATTGCACAACCTTGGCATTGCGCAGACCCTCGACTTTGTGCATGACACATCGATACGCACCATATAGGTGGGCGATTCTGCATTTTACTGGTCTTATGAATGCAGTTTCTTTAAATTCAACTATCGAAATCGCATTTTCGAGATCCCTAAATTTCGATTTGCGGTCCCATTTGTTGTCGCGAACCAAATGTCGTTTAATTAACGTTAATAATGAAAATCAAAAAATACCTAACTCGTAATTTTAGGCGTTCAGATTTGAAGTTTAAGTGTGATATTCCAACATTCTTTCGAATTCTGATTTTCCCTTGGGAGAACTCCGTAGAGGAATTGCATGGAATTTCAGAATTCCGAGGAATAGAATTTGACGATCATTGCATTTAGTAAGAAAAAATCTGATGTGTACACCACATGACTTCCCTGTACGGAATATTAAATTATACGCATTTTTCTTGCATTTCGTTTAATTTTATTGGATTGAATTAAATCTACTTCGCCGACAACGCATAAACCACAATAGAATAAATGCATTGTTTAAAATTGAATCTATGTGTTTACCATAGCGACACTCTGGTGCTAGGTTCACTTAACAGTATTATATTTATTTCATATTATAACTCAGAATGCACAAAATTTATATCATTAAAAGAATTATCCAATCGTTGCCACATGTTCTATTCAAATACTATAATAAAGCTGGAACGATGTACGAGTATAAAAGAAATTAAGCAAACAAAACAAACAAGAAACAGTTTTTCACAGACGATTGAGTATTTCTCATTCAATTCATTCAGTTCTCCCTTCGCGACAAGGCAAAAATACATAAAAACTCAAAATATCTGTATTAAAAATTACGAAGTAAATCTTAAATACTGATTTCCTCGAACAAATTCCAGGAAGGATTAAGCATGATTTAATTCGCAATAATAAATGAAGGCGTTATCTTTGTTGTTGCAAAACTACGTTTCTCTAGATTGGCAATAAATCCACTGTTCTGCTGTTTCAAATGTAAACAAGCAATGGCCGCCATCAAAAAAGATTATTAAGCTTAGCGGCACTTAAACAACTTTGAAATTGTTGATAATTCTAAACATATTGCATATGCAATACTAAAAAGGCATTACTAAAGGCATAAAAACCTTAACCGGAGTATACGAACAACATAATTCAATCATTTTTAAAGCAAAAAATGTATAATTTACAAACATATAAGAGTAAAGAAACTGAGATCACTGTGCCGGGTAACAGAGTGGATATATATATAAATATATTTATATACGTTTGGCTCGGCCGATTGCAGCCAAAATACGAGGTACACATGTACATGTTATAGTAGTCCTATATGCAAAATTTCAACGTTCTGAGGGTACTCGTTTTTGAGTTACGCGAGATACGTACGTACGTACAGACGCCACGAAAAATTCTCTTCAGAATTCATTTTAAATCATTTTTATAATTTTTTTGGAAGAAAGGAGTCTTTTATTGTGTCCTTACGTACAGATATCGCGCAAAAACATCCTTAAATTGCATTCGATATCGGTCAAAATGTATATTTTCGTTGAAATATGCTGCCTGAATCTTTTCGCGATTATAATACTTCCTTTTTACTTCGTACAAGGAAGTAAAAATCAGAAAAGCAGAAAGAATTAAGTCGTTCTTTTGGTAATTAATCTGAATATTAAATGAATTAGAAAGTGTTAAGCAACTTTTAGTGTTAAGTAACAGAAAATATAAATATCTTATTTGCTTTAACATTCATAGACATTAATTGTAAAATTTGGATGTAGTATAATGCTTTTTTGTTTGAGCACCAGTGCTGCTATTAGTCTCGTAACTGACTTTCTGTTCGTAGCACATCTATGTCCGAATCATTTTTCAAATGGTTGCCATCAAATGTTATCGCGATGTATTTCTATTAAAAAAATTAATAATGAAGAATTTTTATGTATTTATGCATATTCGTCACACTGTGAAAAAACGACGGCACCCAAAACTACCGAATTCTTAATAAACATAGTCCACTAACCGAATATGGAGACCTCGAAGCCAGAATTTTGGATTTCGCGTTTCTGATACATTTCAGATTTGGTACAAATTTAGGGAGTTTTTATTTAACGGACTCTGCGATTTGAAAGCCAGAAGTGGCAACAGTGTTCGAAATAACAATTTTATCTCCAGTGCCCTACACAGCTGCCATTTCGCAAAATGTAAGATATTTATATTTTAATTTTAATCTCCAAATTCGGCTATTCCAATGCAGTCGGTTTCCATTGTCTCAAACACAATATTTATTAACTCTTCGCACCGGTGTGTTGACGTTCTGCAAAGCGTAACATGTTTTAAATTTCAAAGTTAATCTTTCTGTTACTCAATAGGAAATGACATTGTCAACGAAATCGCAGATAAACCCACGGGGGGGGGCTGCCAGTAACAACAACGCCGACTTTTAAGATATTCCACTACCCCGTTCATATATCAAGCGTCAACTCAAGAACGACCTAACCTCAAGAATACATCAGCTCACATCAAGGTTTGGTTTGGTATATGTGATTACGGCAGAGCCTCGAGGGGGGGGTAAGCATGCCTTCGTGGAAGGTTTCTATAGGAAACTGGCTCGCATAACGTTACACGCGAGAAAAACCGTGAAAATGCCCGTGCGAGCCAGCCCGTTCACAGGGATTCGAATCCCGATGCAGGCATCCATTCAGTTATGTTTAGCAATTTTTACATAAATTATAATAATGATCTGAAATACTTACTTACTCTTATGCTTCCATTCAGTCATGTTTAGCCTTTTTTATATAAATTATAATAATAAAAAAGTATAATTAAATAATAAAAACAATTATAATAATAAAATAATATAAATATAATAATAATAAAAATAGATAGTTATTTACTATTATACTTCCTTTCTTGCCGCAATTATTAGGGTTGCTACAATTATTTTGGCAGCATTGGCATCAACAATAGTTTGGCGATTTTTTACGGTCCTCGAAACCGAATAGTACCTATTTCTATATCTACACTGTTCGTGTTGAGTCATTCAGAGAATTTTGCGACTTTACCTGTGTAGAGTACCAGCGCGTTTTAGGATATGAGAAAACTGGATGGTTATCTTTGATGCCTGCAGTAGATGGAGTTTTAAAATTGTTTCCTGCACTGAAATCCTATTTCTTGTCGGAAGGAAAGTGTGTCCACCCTAATCCGCATTTTTTTTAGAATCTCTGTGCTACATTGTGGCTCTATTTCGTACATAATATCGCTGCGGTGTTTCAAGCAGCAGTTGACAGGTGACAGGTGAGAGCAGGGTCCGTACACCCGAGCGGCTTTCACTGACTATTCGGGTATCGTTCGAATCCCGCAACTGTCCAGAAAAAGAATATTGCAAACAGGGGCAGATGGAGGAAAACAGGGTATTGCGGATTCCTACAATAACAGTGCTTATTATACAATAAAAAGATACATCAAAAAGTGCTGTTACTATGTTGAATTACCACAATAGTAGTACATCGTATTACATTATACAGTGCACTATTATAATAGTCGATGCATGGACGAATGAATGGCTTCAAGAAGACGTTAAGAGCTCCAGTAACGAAGAAAGGTAACACTACTTCCCTCACAGGGCTGTAATGAAAGAAAATTCCTCTACAAGAGTGAGACCTGCTTTTGATGGATCGGCCAGAGAAAAGAACTCACCTTCTAGCAACGACTGCCTGGAAAAGAGGCCCAATACCGTCGAGCTCATTCCAACCATCATGAATCGATTTAGATTAAAGAAAATAGACGTTGTTGCAGACAGTCGTAGAGCCTTTCTACAAATTGGACTGAGTGAGAGTGATCGACCATATCTAAAGTTTTTAAGGTGGGAGGGTGGTGATGCTGCCGAACCTAACATTTTCTAGCATAGACGGTTTGTGTTCGGACTTTCGTTTTCCCCGTATCTTTCGGGAGCACCCATTCCATTTCATTTACAGAATGCTT